ACAAAAGCTTGGTGATGACATGTCAGATAATGGGAATGACTGTAATCAGTGATTTCTTTGTTTCCCCCTAATGACCGCAAAAGAGGGAATTATATGGCAGATGCAGACATTTGGAAATTGGATTCTTAGTCATTTAGTTAAGGCAGTCCTCATTTTGCTTGGTGCCGTGTTACACATAGGTCATGCATATTGGCACCAAGTCCTCCTTTTTGCATAGTTCTTTTATGACAGATTTGCTCTCAGTTACCATGGAACCTTGCAACATGAAGACTCCATTCCAATATGAACAAGCTTCAGTTAACACAGTACTGTGCAAAACAAGAACTCCAAGTATTATCTGATACTCATTGGCCCAAAAAGCATCATTTTCCAAAAACATACCATGGGAAAAAAGATCAGGAAAATCCATGAAAAGCAATAAGGAACTGGATCCCCTTTGGTATATTAATGGAATATACCATTATAGTGACACGCATGCATGTTCCTATAAAAGTAGTCATTGATTAACTACTTTTTTCTTGGTTTGGAAAATGAAAATTACTTCGTGGTTGTTTCTCCACTATTTCTTTTTTTATTCTCTAAAGGATGCATCCTAGGAAGAATAAATTAAAAAAACACAAGGGGTGACAGTCAGATCCTAATACACATATCACACATGCTAGGTGACACCAGTGCAAATCACTTTAACTTTCTGTACCCTTCTGTCAAGTGAAGACAGAATGAATACCTGCTCTTCCCATGCCAAAGAAATACTGAAAACATAAGGTTTAATCAAGAATAAATGTAACAAAAAGCAAAACCCACAAAATGAGGGTAAATTATGATACTTTTGTCACTCTTACACTCCCCAGCCTCATCTTTTAAGTTGCACCTGCCATGTGAACGGAAGTGGAAGATGGATAGGGATGTAGGCAAAATTCTGAGATCGGTGGTTGGAACACTACTGCCTATGGACGAAATCTGGCTCACCACCTGTTTTTTTTTTTTTTTCAATAAAGTTTTATTGGAATACTCCTTTACCCATTCGTGTATGTATTCTCTAGTCTTTATTCTCACCTTAAGGTGCAAAATTGCGTAGCTGTGATAGACTATAAGGCTCACAAAGCCCCAGATACTTACTTACTGACCCTCTACAGAAAAAGTTTGCTGACCCTGCTCTGGAGTTTCTACAATAATTTCTTTTCTTACTCATTCTCTTCAGCCCTAAACCTGCCAAGATGATCCATTAAGGTCTATAAATAGAAATGTTAAAATTTCTATTTATATCTATTTTTTTAAGGTTTTTTTTATTTTAATTTGAGAGAGAGAGTGCACAAATCAGGGGGGAGAGGGAGAAGCAGGCTCCTCACTGAGCTGGAAGCACTATGCAGGACTTGATCCCAGGACCCTGGGATCATGACCTGAGCAGAGGGCAGACATTTAACCAACTGGGCCACCCAGGCGCCCCATGACTAACTTTCATCTCAGAAATAAATAGATTCAGTTTTACTAATTTGGCAATGGTTCCAGGTGTCACATAACATATGTGAGGAGTCCTGAGCAAAAGAGGGAGTTCCATGACACAGCGGGGTGATCTGTGGTACAATTACTTTCTCATATGTTTTCAGCACTTGGTGACATACTACAATCTCTGTCTGTCTGGCTAAGTGGCTTCAGGGACTCTTTTATTCAGTTTTTTGTTTTTGTTTTTTTTTAAACTAACCCAAAATGGAGAAAGGAACATAAAGGGAATCTTTCAAAGGCAACACAGAGTGAATATTCTAATAATAAGTCAAGCATAAGCACACAAGTAAAAATGACAAAGCTAACATCTTCTCTCCTAGTATGAGCTCTTTGAAGCCTTATGATGATTATATATTAAAGAAATATGCATTGTGATTAATCTTGTCATATGTATATACATCTACATATATACAAATATAACATATATGTATATATGGGGGAGTAACAATTATGCTTTCCAGTAATCATCTCCTGTCCCACTTTTGTCAAAGCTCTTTACTCTTTCCTGAATTCTCTAGAAGCCCACCAACATTTCTGACTGATACATGGCTTCTTTTCAGTTTTTTCCTCCCCATTTCACCCCATTCCACTAAAGCATATTGCTATGCAAAATCAATGCCTGTTCTGTCCCTGGGATTGGGAACCCTATTTCTGCATGCCCCTTTGGATCCTGGGAGAATGACCTGAAAACACGTCCTTAAGAGACAGACTTTGTAAGTACCCTCTCCTTCCTTCCTTTCCTAACCCCTGCTAAAAGTGTCTTCCTCTCACCATTTGTTGGAAAGACGGCTTAAAATCTGAAGTTGAAGCTTTAAAGCTCATGAACATAGAACTCAAATTAAGAATCACAGACTTTGAGAGTTTTAAATTTAAAGGGAACCCTACAGACTTGGGTAAAAACTCTACTTCCTCTTTCACTATATAGAGATCTGGTCAGTAACTCTGAATCTCCTTTTCCTCACCTGTAAAGTGGGCATGCTATATTTTGTCCTTCCTTTCTTATTACCAGGATAACTTTAGATAGTTTATGAATTGTGAGATGACTTATAACTTATAAAACTATACATAGTCGATAGACTATAAAGACTGATCATTTTTTTGTTTTGAACCCATACTGAAAAAACAAATAGAAAGGTGGGGGAGGGAGGGAAACAGAAAGAGTTAAAACCACAGCTCTCTGTGTGGCAGATACTCCTGTACACTTTACATACACTTTACTGAATCCTCCTAACACCTGCATGCAGTAGATGCTGCTTGTAGCTCACCCCAAATCACACAATTAGTAATTGATCTCCAGTCTGTCTTGATATGCCCTTTTACCCACTGTGCCAGATGGATACACTTTCTACTAGCTATGTTGCTTTGGAGAAGCAATTTACTCTCTCGGCGACTCGTTTCTAAAGGGAGGAAGAAAACACCACTCTTATGATGTACTGGCTGCATTATTATAACTAATCTTAATGAAAGACCATTTCTTAGAAGTGCTCATATTCATTTTGTCTTTGAGAAACCAAGACAGAGCATCTACACACTATAATCAAGGCTTTTCAACCAGCCTGTTGTGGGCTCTGGACTTCAACTACCATTTCCAGATCCATTTTTCCTTCCAGCGCACTGCCTGGCAATCAATGGATGTGGCAGGATCAACTTAGACAACCTAAATGCCAGTATCTAGCAAATAGTGCGCACACAGTAGGTACACAATACATAGTAATTTTTTTTTCCTAAATAAACTCCTTCTTTCTCTTGGAATATGATCAGCACAATGATTTTATGTTCCATTTGGAAGACTGAAAATCAGGACTGAGGAGACAAAAACATCAGTGTGGGTTGCCTAAACCAAGGAAAAACCATAGCCGGGGTGGAAATGTGGACCGTGATAGAAGCCTGTAAACTTTCCAGCTGGCAGCCAAGGGTTCCTTCTTACCAGCATGTGCTTCCTTAGTAAACTTCACTCTCAATTCTTCTCTTTTTGAAGAAAAACATTTCCAGCTAATAACACAATTACACTTAAGTATCAGAGCTCATTTTAGTATTATTGCATTTGTTAAATCTAACTGAGTCCAAATTACTTCCTCATTGCTAATAAGAGAGGGGGGAGGAGGAGCAGAGGAGGACCAGGAGGGGTTGGGGGAGGAGGAGGAGGATGGAGGAGGAGAGGGTTTCCAGGGTTAAAGGAAGAGAAGGAGACACATACACAGAGTAACAGAAAAACAGAGAGATAGCAACACTGCATGTAGCCTCAAGTCCAATGAATGTCAGTTAAACTTGCTGCGCACAGTTTCTATGGAAACCCCTTAAGTTAAGAGTGGAACACAGACATTTTTTTGGACTGAAATTCACAAGCTGTTTATTTAATTATGATGAAACATGAGACTGTTAGGGACAATACTATTATCATACTGATAGTATTTAGAATTCAACGAATAGGTATAAAATAAAAAGCTTAAAAAAATTCTAAATCATCACCTTCATGTGAATTGCACGCAAATAAAATGTATCTTGTTTTTACAGGACTTTTCACATTATTTCCCACAGGCGAACCCCAAATTAGCCAAATGACATTCATTAAAAGGGAGTTCTTCAGAGGCCTCATGCCAATTATACCCCCCATGCCCAGTGAACAAAACCAAGGTCACAGCATATTTTCAATTAAACCCAGGATAGCACCAAAGTGCAGCACAGCTGGAAAAGCAAGCACATTATTACCCCATAGATCATTTGTGAGCAATGAATAGGTCTCTGGTGTTTTTCTGTTTTATAGATATTTGAATATAAAAATAAAGAAAATAGCTTCAGATTAGCTTTTGCCTTCCAAAATAAACAACCACTTTTAGGGCATTACTCCTGTGGCCGAAAGAAGAATGATTGGAAGCCATCACTTTTCTGTCCCTGATGATTGGAAAAGGTTTGCTTAGCCTTTAATTTGGCCACAGGGAAGCATGTGATTGATGGACTCATTCATACCCTTGTTCCCTCACTAAGGGAACATGGAGTTTCCACCTACTATATATCAGGCACTGTGCTAGGGACAAGGGAGGCAAGAAGATTAAACCCCAGTCCTTAGCTTAATTATGGACTTTTTAGAAGGGAATGCATTAATTTTACTGATAAATATTTATGGAGGGACAACTACGGCTCATGGGCATTAGACTAAAGAGATCAATAAACCCAGGGCCCTGCCTTCCAGGAGATTACAACTAAATGGAGACAAAAAAGACACACAATCATAAGTCAAAGAGCAAGGAGTCAGTGCTCCTGCCTGCTACCTCACAGTACCTCGCTGTAGAGATAGAAAAACTACCTACGGATGCTGTGCTCCAGAAGAGAAATGTATTTATGGGTGTGGCATGATTGGCTGGCAGAAGACAAGGTAGACGAGGGAGCTTTGGGAATATTTCTGTAGGAGAACCACATTTTCAGATCTGTCTATGAGCCACCCAGTCTCTTATAAAATCTTTACCCCATAAGATATAACCGAAGGAAGGGACACTCACAAGAGAAATGAATCCCAAGGAGAGTCATCTCTGGTGTCAAGCTGGGAACATGAAGGCTGTCTCTAAGCTGGCAAAAGAGAAACATACAAGAAATTTGCAAAGGTGACTCAGGGAATATGTCTTTTCTACTAATCTGCAGCCTATTTTTTTTTTTTTTTTTTAATTGAGTAGTGGTTTGCAGTAGCCGGGCTTCCCACAAGTTGCTCATGCTAGCAAAGCCCGTCGTGGCTGTTATTGGGTTTGACAGTGTATAATGAGCCACTTCACATTAGCTGCTGTTGTAGTGTTCAGCATATTGTGGGAAAGATTTAGCATGAATCATCACCCACCTAGCTCTCCATTGTGGTCTCTATGCTGTAAACAGGCAACATGTTTGCCCATCTAAAAAAATAAAAAATAAAAAAGCATCCATTAGAACAATTCAGCACATTTCTGGATCTGCTGCCACCACATCACCACAGACAACACTGGTGACAATATTTATTGAATTGCCACGGTATTTTAACATTCTCCCAGGAAGAAAGCCAAGCAGCTATTTTAACCACTGGCCATTTGGAACAACGCATTCTTTAATGCCAAAGAAAAAAACGCATTTGGAATCAGAAGACCTATTGTCTACACTCGGTTCTGACTTATCAGATGTGTGACCTTCAACAAGTCACATTTTCTCTCTGATCCAGTGTCTTGACCAAAACCACCACTTAAGATCAAATGAGATAAAATATTTTGAAGATGGGTAGAAAAGAGTTAAACAGAACACAACGAATTACTCAAGTCAAATGGGATGCTCAGAGTTTGGACATAGGCATGAGCTGTGAACTCCAGTTGTTTCTTTTTCTGTAGCCAAACACAAAAGAGATGCTAACATCTCTTCCTCCTACCCATCCTGATTCCTAGTCCCTGCCTCCTTCCCACACTCACATGGCAATGGCACATTAAAAATTAGAATCTGAGCTGAGGGTCACACAGTACTTAGAGCGAAGAAATATGAAGAGACAGTGCTGGCAGTTTGCAAAGCATCATGAAGTAAACTAAAGAATCTTTAATTCCCACAAACACAGATCTTTACAGCCGAAGCTTAAACATACAGTTGGTGCAAACAGTATAAAGCGGAAACCCTGAGCAAGTCCAGATGGGTAAAGCCCACACAATTAGTAATCAAGATCAAGGGACTGACATGGATATTGAAATCACCAAGAATTCTATCAGGAGTAGGACTGGAAAGAACAGCAGGGAGGCAGGTGTTAAAATCTTCAAGGAATGAGGAGGAGTGAAGTGTGGGTCTGCTGCTGACTCCTACAAGGAGGTGTTAGCAGGTGGCCTAGTCTGATGGTGTAAGCTTCAAAGCTGGGCACTTTACTGTGATAGATGGTTCTGTGGAACACAGAATGTAAATAAATGTGCTTCTCAAACTTCAAAGCAATATACCACTAGTGAATATTACTATTATTACATAAGCAAAACTGAATATAATTAAAATTTATTTAGAGATGATCTATGGATTTTCCATTATTGGTTTTAAAAGATCTTCTTGGAAGTTTCCCCAAATCTCATGGTTTTAAGAACCACGTGAAATGTGAGTGACAAGTTAACATGTCAGGGATTTATAATAATGTGAGAGCAAGGCAGTGGGTAGCAATTAGTGTATGTAGAGGGGATAAAGAAGAGGTAGAAGAAAAAAACTCCTGCTCGTTGCTAAATCAAGTTCCCAATTCTTAATACTTATATTAGACAAAAATTAGCAGTATTTGACATAGTGAACACCCTGTCCTTTCTAAAACACTGTCTGCTCTTGGCTCCTGGGAAACCACTCTCTTGATTCTCTTTCTACCTCAGTGGCTAATCTGCTCCACCTCCATCACTGGTTGTGCCTTATTTGTCAGGCCGCTAAAACCCTGATGTGCACCAGAGCTCCATGAATGGACCTATTCTTTGTCCAGACTCACTTTCCACGTGATCCCACGGTGGCTTTAAACACCATCTACAAACATACATCTCCAGTCTGTAATGCAGACCTGCACATCTAATTGCTAACTCAAAACCTCCACGTGGACGCATCGAAAATTGATCTGTCCAATATAAAACCCTTGATTCCAACTCAACCTCCACCCCCAAGGAAGACTTTTCTAATAGCAACTCCAGTCACCCATTAATTCATTCATTCGACAAAAAAATTTAAGTTCCTATCATATGCCAAGCACAGTTCCAGGGATCATCGTCCTAGTAATTCAGACCAAAGTCCCCTTGAATCTCCATTTTTTCCACCTCATCCTCACTTTTGCATCCTGTTGTATCTATAACCTATCACCTTTACATCTTATTGCCTATACCTTGGGAATCGTGTGTACCAAGAGTCTTGTCGCCTCTCTTTCCCGCCACTGCAACATCCTAGTCCATTCCCTATCGCATGATTGAGTTATTCCAATAGGCTAGTCCACTGTCTGATGTCTTCGCTTCTCTGCGTGCACCCCCCTCGGTTTCTTCTCCACACAATGGAGTAAAGTTTAGAGTCAACTTTAGAAGTTTTTCCGAGCATGAAATGAGGTGATGTCCATAAACCACTAAGCCTGGCGTATTGTAAGCTCTCAAATAACAGGAATGGTTACTGTTATCTGAGAGAGTTTCAGTCATTGTTTACTACGAACTACTCTACCGACCTGGGGAGTGACTAAACAATTTACCCACTTTTATAAAATGAGTGGCTGGGGCTGAATATGGTACTCATCCCCAAATACAGGATCATGCTTAGACATGAGAAAATATACCACCTTGATCTTTTACTTAGCACCATAGACACAAGATTGGTAACAAGAAAGATGGTCATGAGAATCTTACCTTTTGCTTTTCTATGTATAATAAAATTATAGATTAGATGATGGATCTAATATAGATTAGAAAATTGTCTCATATACATTATCCCATCTGGCCTTCACAGTTATGGCAGGTAAGCAGAATAGATTATATTTTTCCAATTTGCAGATGAAATGTTAAAGTATAAGGAAGTTAAGTAATGGGATGATATTTAAGAGGAATAAAACTGATGTGATAACGATTAATACAAGAAGCTAAGCATTTAGAGCTCTAGGCTAGTGGTCTGCCCAATACATAATGTTTCAAAATGAACATGTTAAAGGGTGGAAGGAGGTACTTATGCCATTAATTGTTCCAAGGTTCTCAAAATTTGTAGGAACTTACTCCCTCCCCCTCCTCAGAGAGGGGAGGAAGGGAACTGAGGGAGCTCCACACCCAGCATGGAGCCTGACATGGGGCTCGATCTCGCAACCCCAAGATCGTGACCTGAGCGAAAATCAAGATCTGGATGTGTAACTGACTGAGCCACCCAGATGCACTGGAACTTGCTTGTGTGTGTGTGTGTGTGTGTGTGTGTGCATGTGTGCGCTTTTTAAACACATTGCACTATGTGGGAATAAAAAAAGAATATGCATTGAGCCATTATCAATGATTGTGTTAGTCATCCACATTGTACTTGCCTACCTCTGTGTCTTTCTGCATCATTAGACTACAGGCCTTGCTGGGACAGGCACTATATTTCATTTTATGTGCATGCATAACCCAGTTACTGCCATTTAGTACATGTTCAATAAATGTTTCTTGACTAAGCAAATGAAATAGCTTATTTGGTTATATCAGAAAGAACCAACTGAAAGTACACCCGGAATCTGAATCACACAATTCATCTGTATGATTAGAATGAAAGGCCCAGTCAAAAACTGTTGGTAACAATGATTTCATATGGTTCAAACTACAGTTTTCAAAGAGGGACAGTGATTTTGGAAATGTCCAGTTTGCCAACCACATTTCAGGAATTTATGGAAATCCTTTTCAGCTTACTTCTAGTTATAGATACGTTCATGTACCAACCAAGGGAAAAAGAGCCAACAATTTTATTTCACTGGGAAGTCTTCTAACTTCAGACCTTCAAGCTGTGGCACAGTAATTACAAACAAAACCAGAATAAGTACATTTGGTACCACGCTATAAACGGTTCATTCTCTATTGATCACCTGTGGCAGGGAACACAAGCACAGAGCAAAGAAGACACTTGCTCTGCCATTGCCTTAAAATCCAATAGTACAGCCATTTGTACATCATGGAAAATTAAGATGTCCATGTTGTTTTCTCTTAATAAAGCTGCTCAAATATTATTAATTTTCAATAGTTCTATTCTGACTCATTCCTTTGTCATCTGACTTGCCCACAGAGAGAATTAACCACTTACTTATCATTTTGTCCATAGTGCTCTTCATTATACCACTTATCACCATGTGAGAACCAACACTGTATGCCTATTAATCAACTGCCACTGTAGAACACTGTGCTGAGCATACACAGAAAATAAAAGTTTTAAATTAAAGTGAAGTGAGTATCTGAAGTACAGACATGGTTGAAAATATATATGCTACTTAATATCACTATAGCGGCAATGGTACCCTAGTTTAACACTGGAGATCAGGATGTGTGGGAATAGGAGATGGTACAACAAAAGTGTCCTTGATCTTCAAATAACAGCACCAAGTCAACCTCCTGCTCTAACCGATCTAAATCTATGCTCTGAAAGGACACATGATAGCTGTGGTCTGTGTAAATGTGACATTTATCTTCATGAGTGTAGTGATGAAGAATGGATCAGGACCGCCACAGTCATGAGTGACTTATCCCATCTCTCCTCACAAGTGAAGATAAATGACACAAAATATCAACCACCATACATTATATATATTTATTCCACATTTTTACTCCCAAGACACAAACATACAGGAGGCCTTTTCCTCAACCTGATTGTTTTTCATTTTCAAAATATACAGCTAACAATAACAATAGAGAACCTCTGGGAAAGTCAGAGGCAATGAAAAATGCTGAAATGACTTCTACAGGACAAGCTATATGCTTTGAGAGGTTATGTCAAGACATCTTATCTCTGGGAACTCTAAAACGGCTGCAAAACTCCAAATAGGATTTCCACCAGTCTCTGACTGCTGTCATTAAGTTAATGTTATGAGAAAGTCACAAAGACCCTCCAAGGATACTACATTAGATTACTCCCCC